TCTGAATTATAGCCCTTAGTGGTGGTAACCTAGGGTGATAGGTAGTGACCAGTGGCACTCTGGTCGATCGTTGACGTGGTTTGTACGTCAGTGTTTGAGCACGAGGTATGTCCTTTGCTTTTTTTTTAATAGCATTTTCAATGGGTCCTCGATGATAATTTCTATTCCGGGGATGTCCGGATAGTTCTTCTGTTCGATTCTAAAAATCTAAATCCGAAGAACAAATGCGTCTTATGCGCAATGCTTGGCTGTACGGAATATATATATTAAATCAAAACCTGAAATACCTTCAATTGTAACATCCAGAAACAATTCACCAAGAATCTGGAGGTAAGGCATGTACAAGACACCAACAATAGCTTCACCAACGTCTTTTTCGTTAGGAAAGAGAAGAGACTGAATGGCTACACCATAACCGACCATAAAAACAAGTAAAATACCAAGAAACAGCAATAGCTGAAATATCTATGAAAACAATGAATCAATTTAATTAAAGAAAAAAGTATTAAATAGCAGGCAGTACAATTTTAACACATGAAAAAACAAGACACTCTATTAATCTTTTTATTATTGCTGTCTTCTCTTTGTCTCTTCAGTGTTTCCGTTTGATACTTTTATATTTTTCAGTTTAGATTTTTTTTGGTTTTTTTTCAAGAGATAGACAGATTTGAAGGGCCAGGGCAAAAGATGTACTTTGGCGCGTAGCACCATCCGAGCGCTGCAGGTGCAAACCGAAGGAGGGTTTGGGGGGGGGGGGTTCTCCTTCCCGAATTATAAGTTTTGAAAATAATTAATAAGTCACTAGAACTAGACGCTCATACAAGCATCTTAACCTAAGAAAGTTACCCTTGTGTTTGGTAATGCAAAAGTCAAATGTTATAAATTTAACTTTATTCACAATTTCATACAAATCTCAGCCTCACGGCTCAATTACATGTACTCATAATGTAACATAACATTCCACAGATATGAGAGTCTTGTTTAGGATCTCAGTGGTTATACTTTATAATATTTGTCAAAAAAGGGACCGCACTATGTTTGCACTACACATTGTGTTATGTATCACAAAATGAAAATATCATTTTGGGCTTGTTCTCGCGGGCCGCATAACAGGCACTCGTGGGCCTGAGATGGCCCGAGGGCTGCCAGTCCAGAACACTTGCTGCAAGAAAACGCTTGTTTGTATTTTAAAAACCATGATATGTTTTTTACCATAGTTTTGTAAAAGATAAAAACCTAGGTTTGTCTTATAACAAAAGACAAATAATTGTTTGATTGTTTACAAACCATGGTTTGACATGTAAAAGAATATCTATGGCTTGTGTGGTTTTTTTTATCATCTTTGCTGCACAGGTTTTAAAGAAAACCATGTTTGTCATTTACAAACCACAGTTTGACTTTTACAAACAATGGTTTTTTTTTGTTTTTTTTTAATCGAAAAACAAAAAAATGGTTTGTTTTAAATTACAAACCATGGTGCAACCATGGTTGTAAAAGACAATCCGTGATTTGCCTTTTGTCGACAAACAAACCGTTGTTTGTAAACTACACAATAATTATAGGTCTCTTAGTGAATAGAACATTAGCTGGTAAGTAATCATATACTAACCATTTTCCTTATCATAACTATTTTTAGACCAAGACGCTCATAAACAGCATAAAATCTAAGTAACCTGACATAGAATAAAAAACAGCTGGCAGAGAACAATTCTTTGGCACTTTCTGTCTTCTTTGAGCTCAAGTGTAAGACGTACCCAACTAAGGCTAGAATCAACATAAAGACGTCAGCCCAATTCCAGTAACTGCGCGCCCATTGAAGTGGGTCTACCTTTAACTGAAGGAAAAATATCAATCAAGAATTTATAATAAATTTAGATAAAACTTGAAATTTGGTATTCAACTTTCTTTTTTAAGTTATGCTAATGGTTTTATTTCTGTTTTAGTCCACAGTTGTTTTTGCATTTGTATGTAATATATTTTATTGCAGTGGTGGTGCTGTGGAGGCAGGTTGTCAGAGCACTCGCGAGAATATAAGACTCTAAAATGGAATAAATAAGCCTTTGAAATTCCTTATCAGAGTTTTATGGAACTTTTCCCCTTGGACCTCCAATGTGGAGTTCTTGATAGACCATGGACCCATCCACTGAAGCGCCCCGTCTGGGAAATCTGTCTTCCCGTCGGGGACATCGGTTCCACGTTGTGCAAATCCATGTGCCACCATTGCGTTATTGTCAGGGGCCCTAATGATCATCTTTGCTGCACAGGACACTGTCTTTAAATATGGTTCAATTAAATATTAAAAGAATCTAACTTTTAGAAACATGTACTTGTAAGTTTATACAAGACATCATGAAATATACTACACAAACCAAAAGTGATATTGGCAGTGGTGGCGCCAGGATTGATGACTACATACGTCATATTTTGTTTGTGTTTCATACTAGAATGTTAATTTTGTCTTCAGTAGAGAAAGAACAAAATTGTTTACTTGTCGAATTTCTTCAATGATGAGAGTGCAAATCCAGGCGAAAAGTACATTTTCCCAGAATGAAGGCTTTGATTGAAAATTGAATATCAACACATAGCTAAACAACAGTAGCAACAACATATATGACATCTTAAAAAAACAAATGAAATTATTATTCTCTTAGACTTAATAAATAAGAAAAAATTATTGATGTAACAAAGTGATATTACACAGCCTATTGGAAGATGGTCGGTTAAACAGAAGGATGGACGAATGGTTTGATGGATGATTTTAAAAGTGTATAGCTGAATGAATATATATATATATATATATATATGTATATATATATGTATATATATATGTATATATATATATAAATCAAGATAGCCATTAACACTGTTAAATTATATATAAATCATCATCAAAGAAAGGTAAATACAGTGTTTGAATAAAGTGTTAACGGCTATCTATTTATATTACCGGTATATGCAATTATTTCCATTTATTATTATTTCCAGCCGAACGTATCTCTTGTGTAATAGAGTGTAATCTGTTCAATCATAAAGCCTGTGGTCTAATGGTTATGATGCTCGCCTTGACAGCGAGAGGTCGCAGGTCCGAATCCCGTCAGAGGCATTTTATTACACAATTTCTTTATACATTTATTTTATAGAACTACATTAGGAGGATGGATTAGTACAGAAAAAGTAAATTGATGGATGAATAGATAAATGATTGGATGGATAGATTGGCAGTGGATGAATGAATGGAAAATGGGTGGTTGGAGGGTAGATGGAGAAAAAAAGTAGATACAATATCTGGAGGGCTTGTTGGCAACAGGGCTGATGATGGATGGATTGGTAGAGGGATGACTGATGGATAAATGAATGCATGGAAATTATATATAATGAAATTGACACAGTTTATAAGTTGATATGGGTAGATAGCAGAATGAATGGATGGATGTTTTATACACAGATGGATAGAGAAAAGACTGTAAATCTGAATAAAAGCATACCACTCCGCCAATAAACTTTGTTACAGGTGCATTATAAACCTTCCAAACTTTACAAATACTTGCACATGCCAATTTTTCCGTCTTGTAAGTAATTACCAGCAGCAACAGAGGAAAAATCCAAGCCAAAACTCCCTCCCACCACGAGCATTGCATACCGCCCTTCCAGGTATTGTCAAGGACGGCCTGGGCACATGGATGCGAAATGAATTCCTTAAAGTTTGAGTTGGCAGCTATTTTTAGGGTGTCCATGCCACCCCATAGCTTATGGGGGGTCGTTATCATCCTTTGGGCTAGCTCTTCATTCGTGCAAAAACACTCTTGAATGACACTGAGAGCAAGCTCTTCAAATTTACTGTAAAAAAGATCATTAGATGAGTTGATAGCAAGAACAGTAAAAACAACATCAACAATATTCATTTTACATTTTATTTATTAATATTTAGGCAGGATTACATAATAGATGAGACGGTAACACTGTTTTAAAATATGGTCCTACAGAGATAAAATACATTATGAAACATTATTAACAACAAGACAAAATACAACAATATATAAAATCGTAAATACTAAAAACAACAATTAATACAGAGAACAAAAAAATATATTTATGGAGATAGTGTTTAAGAAAATTAAACTTAGTGAAAATTTGAGAAAGTGTTTCATATCATTTATTTTTTTTTATTAATAAAGTCTAGGGGAAAAGAGGTGTAACCTCCCTTTTTTAAACCTTCCCCTCCCCCCCCCCATTTTTGAAATATTAAAAATTTATATCTCATTCACCTTTCTCCAGTTTTTCGCCAAACAACTTTTTTCTGCTTTAGATAAAACTGTACAACGTATTAAAAACATTTTTTTCCTCCAGAGCCTGAATTTAAAATATTAAACGACGGCCATTCTTGAATTTTCATAGGAATTGTTCAAAACTTTTGTTCCAGCGATTTTCAATGAGCCATTAATTACAGAGCAGTTTAAAATTGGCAGGATAACGTTAAGTGGTTGGGCACATATCGTCGAATAGCCATGGAGCTCTCTTCTCCGTTTTTTTTTTATTTACAAACTATACATGGAAGATATTTGGCAAGAATTCAACGATTAAGTGTCTCTTCAAAAAAAGGCAATTTACTTAAATATTTTGCTGCTTTTGTATTGTGTTGTCAAATTATGAATGAATAAAAAAAAAAAAAAAAAAAAAAAAAAAAAAAAAAAAAAATTTACTTAAATATTGTATTTTAGCCCTCCAGTTGAAACACAAGAATATACTAAAGCTATGGAATTGAATTGAGCAACACAACTCCAAAAAGATGTTCATAGTCGGTGTACACAGTGTTTTACCATCAGACAGAACTAAACTGCTCCCTCTGTAACATTAACACGTCTGATCTGAGTCTCATAGAAGCACATGTCTCATTTCCACACTTTCTTTAATTTATAGCCCTGCCTACCTACCTGGCTGAATCTTTCTCTTTTTTTGACATTGAAGAGATCATTCGATAAGCAACAATAGCTAAACACACTTGGTTCTCACCACGCTCCCAAAGGAACTCTGCAAGATCCATTCTAAATATGAACGGAAAAAAGATGTAATAAATCATCAATACCTTATAATATACCATGTTAAAACATGGAAACCATAAATACAACTGCAACATTTAATTGATTCTTTACCATTATTATCAATTACTATCAAATACTGGCAATCTTTGGCTCCTGTTCCAATATATAATTGGTAAAGGTAAGGTTCCTAATATATAATTGGTAAAGGTAAAGGTGTTTGGCGCTGTTGACTATGTGTTTTGTACTGCTGACTCTGAGTTTTGCACTGCCGACTCTGTGTTTCGCACTGCTGACTATGTGTTTTGCACTGCTGACTCTGAGTTTGCACTGCCGACTTTGTGTTTTGCACTGCTGTCACTTGTACTTTGTCCTTTTAATGTTCCATAGTAAAGAGGCACTTATACCGTAGGCTTGGTAGCTACATGAAACATAGCAGAGGGGTAACCTATTCTTCCGAAAGATGAAATGGGTTATTCAAAATGCATACAACGCAGATGTGTACACTGGGCCTCCAATGTAAGCGCATAGACGAGAAGACTTTGTTCTAACAACAAAGCCTGGCTCTCAACAAGTGCCGTATTAAGGCTATAGGACTAGCTATAAGAGGCCCATTCAAGTCCAAATAAGCTTAAAATTAATTTCTAACTCAATAATGTTGAAGAAAAAAACTGCCAGTAGCCCCTCAATAATAAATAGAATTCTTAGAAAAGTAATTACTGCGTTCATTTCAATTGTTTAATTTAACAGTTTTCTTGAGTAATTTACAACTAGCAGCTGTTCCGGAGAGGCCCGTCTTGAAATAGTTCAGAGGTTTCCTATTATTATTAATATTTGTTAGTAACTTGGGCCATTGAAGATATGGGTTAAAAAAGGAACGCTTCTTAACGATGAATTTTCTGAAAACATGAATCAGTATACCTACAGTAGTCCTAGAATTTTAAATTCAAGATACGACTCCTGAAAATTTAAAACGTCAGAGCTTTTGAAGGTTATCCTACCCCTCCGGAGGAATTTGACTGCTCCCAGCATTCTCCCACTAGCCAAAACTACATGGAAGCTCACTATAATATCTCCATGGTTGATGCTTCACATCAAAGGGCTAGGAAATTAACCTTGCAATGGGGCCCATTCCAACTTGCTACGCCTCTATCTATATAAATCTTTTCCCACCTGCTTCCTAAAATTGCCCACACAAACAACTCTGTGAAGGGGTGTTCAAATTGTGAAACCATCTGGACATCGTCGGATGCGGATCCTAACAAAAATAAGTTGATAAAAGTTGATAAGTTAGTAAATATAATAATAATAATAATAATAATAATAATAATAATAATAATAATAATAATAATAATAATAATAATAATAATAATAATAATAATAATCTATATTTTATGCAGCAAAATTTACAGTACCATGATATGGATAATATGTCTGTCATGAATCACGCAATGAGAAGTATAACGATAATGATGATGATGATGATGATGATGATGATGATGATGATCAAGATGTTAATCATGATGATGACAATAATGATGATTAATATCATAATCATCTGGGTTATCCTTTCTAAGCATGGCAAAAACTGGTATAAAATTTAAATAAATGAAATATTCTAATAAGTATCATAATCTTACAAAATATGTAAATGTGTTATGATTAACCTACTTACCGGATGTACAACATGTTGACATGTCATCACAAGCTCTGGGTAACTTCTGAATTAACAACAAAGCATCATGATGGTCAAAATAATCCGGGGAAAAAAATACAATGAATGTGTAATTGCTTTCATATGGTACCTATTCTTTCAGAGAAATTTAGACTAAAAATTACCAAAAAAAAAAAAAAAAACAGCTTTTAGTATAACAATTTTAATACTTAAAAAATTAACTGACAAACTATTTAATTGCATTTTTTGGAATTAGTTTTTAGTTCCGATTAGGAGCTCTAGAAATACTCCGCCGATTGACTAAGAGTTGATTAATTAATAGCTCTTCTTAGTTCCGATGAGGAGTTCTAGAACCACTCGACTGATTGCCTAATAGTCGATTGATTAATTTTATTTTCATTGTATGGGTGGCCACTAAGGCCAATATACTCTACTGCCTCTATTTTACTGCCCTCAATGAAGCATTCGACATTACAAAACTTTAAACTTATACTTTAAAAGTGAAGTAATTACAATTATGTGCTATAAAAAATTAAATCAATTTTATTAATTTATCATCATGTTTTTGCCATGCATATTCAGTGATCAGAGTTTATGCCACTAAGCGCAAGCTCGAGGTCGAGTGGTTAAGACACTAGGCTAGTTACCAAGAGGTCGTGATTTCGATTCCCACCCAAAGTACTTGCGAGATTTTTTCTAGAATGGACTGATCATTCAGTAGCAAAACACGTCAGATAGGGCAAAACATCATTAGTATTTAATTTCCTGACGTAATCACCGTGGAAATAACAATTTATTTGAAACAAAGTTCTTGGATGCAGTCTTACCAGTTTATCTAGTAGCTTTCGATAAAGAACTTTTTCTTCTTTGTTATACAAGTCAGTTAGGTGCGTATCTATATATTCTTTCATGATGGCGCCATTTTCTAAAAACAGTTGAAGGAAATCGACTTGGTTTTTCTTTAATGCCTTTGTCACAAACTTATCAAAACTATCAGGCTAAAATATGAAACAAAAGTATCAATCAGTAAAACAGTAGCTTAATGTTCTTCATAAAATATAGAGAAGAAAACTGAGGGCCTGGTTTCTTTTGTGAGAAAATGTATATTTTTGAACTAGGCCTATTACTACAAAACTATTTGAACTGGAGGGATAACTCCAAAAGCACTATTCAAATTGGATATACCCACCATATACGACTACGGTTAAAGTTTGAACTTTCATATTTGGCTTAATTTTACAAGCAAATTTCCTTTCTTACCTTACTTTTTCTTACCTTTCCTTCCTTTTCGTTCTTCCAGGTTAATTTGGTTTTTCCTTTTATTTCCAACATTTTTTCATTTCAAAACTACAGTATTTATTAATATTCAAAAAATAATTAAGGCTACATAGGCCTACTTACTTTCCATTCGTTGTTGCCTTCAAATATACTCTTAGCAACATCGGCTCTACCCCATGACTGGGCCAGCTCCAACTGGGACTCAGGTTTCGCCGCCTCGCCTAGAATTATGTGTAAAACAGAATGAAGGCATCGTAAAGAAAATGATGCTTTTTCATGCTAATATGTGAGTGATTTTAATAAATGTTATATAAGAAGATTATAGGATATATTGTGAGATCCAATTAAATTTCGAGTTACATTTGAAGAATATGGATCTCAAGGTGGTTGGAAATTGCTCTCTGATTCTTTCAAAATCTTACCGGTACTATTTTTTTTTAATGATAAAAATATGTCAACAATACAAATCAACATTTTTTCCATCGCACCCTCTGCACACCTTGCATTCGCCGCAGTCTTTTTGGTGAACTATGCGAATCATATAGAAACAGGGAAAGAATAATAAAGTGAGCCTATTTTACAACTAAAAAGTTTCAGGACAGATAGGGAACAGGGGAGATTTTGTAATGGTTAAGACAACCTATTTTTGAATCATAGTGAACAGAGAATATTTTCTATGACCAGGAAAGCCTATTTTGTGAGGAGAGTGAAGTATAGAGGGATGATTGGTCAAGAAAGACGGCTGTGAACTTTCATGGTATGAAATTTCTCTGATGAGACAAGTGGCAAACTTTTTCAGCTCATTTTATTTTACACTTGAATATGTAAAGTTCTACCTTTGAGAATAGCCTTTAGTATCGCTAAATCCAAACCTGCTTGTTCACCGCCATCCATGCTAAAGACAGTTATCTAAAAGTAAACAGAAGCAGAGTGATCACGTTATTGGAGACCAATTGTTGTGGTCAGGATTAGTAATTTGAGCTAAATAGACAGAGTTTTATGGTCATGAAGGCATTTTCACAGTTATTAAATGGTATTGTGATCACACTAACATCACATCAAAGCCAAATTCTTCTCATCCAACAATAAGTGTCCTTATGGTTACGCATTAACAAGATTGATCGGCGTGTCTAAAGTTGGTATTACAATCGATTCACGGTAGTATGATTACAGACTGATGGCTGTCATCAGGACAGATTATAGAATGTGATCACATTGACTAGGATATTTAATGATCTGATCATGAGGATACTAGTATATTTAATAATCTGATCATGAGGATAGCTTATGATTATGGCAATGGTGTATAGCTCACCATTCTTTTATGTTTCATTATAACGCTGATTGCTTCTTCTAGATCTTTTATTTTTTCCTTTTTTTTAGGATCATCACCAAATTGACACACGCTTGCTATTCTTCCATTAATATCTTTCTGCTTAGAAGGTTCAATTATCCACACTTTATTAAGCCTATACAAAAGACAGAAAAGCGAAAAACAACTATTGTTAGATTTAGAGGATAAAACTATGTGCTCTCATTATAATGGCAAGAAAGTGCAGTTGATTGTGTCCGTAAGGTGCATACTGTAATATATCTCTTTGTAGTATCTATGGAGAAAACATCAAAAAGGCATATAACACTTCCAAAATACAGTATTTTAGCATTGGTGCAAATGTTTGTAAGGTGCAGCCTATCTTTAATGCCTTTCACTGTGGTATTGCACATACATTCACTGTGTGCAAACCTTGTAGGCTTACCAACTATTAACATTGTCAGAATGACTTGTATGTAACAGATGGTGATTTCAGTAGGAATATCCCGTGTCGCAATTGGATATTAGTCATAAGCAAGATTCTAATACCATTTTTTTGGATTTGAATTGAAAACACTGGTGGTTAAAGTATCTTAACTACCAGGCAATATATAATTATCCCATCAAACTCACTCATCGAAAACACAATTCTTGCTTGCTTCAGCTAGCAAGTTAGCTGCTCTTCCGGTACCCTCACAAAAGACAACGGGAGTCTTCTTTTCAACAGCTATCTTTGCGGAATTGATGGTGTCCTCACCACCTCCCAAGCAAATTTTCACCACTGATATTGCTTTAGTCTCTGTAGGAAATAAAGTTTTGAAAATTGAAATTCCAACACAATCCACAAATTTCAATTAGTATTCAAGATTGGAAGTCTTGGTATAGGTGACATAATGCCAATTATACTGTACTATATAATAGTTAAAATATAATTGCTCCTTGCGAAACTACGATCTTCATTGCATTTAGTTGGAAATATTCGCATGAATTATGTTTACAGTTAGCAAATTCCGTTAATGCATCCAATGAATCTAGGGCTAATAACAAACTTTGAGAGTTGACAACAAAATATAAAAATTACTGTCAGTTGGTACTCTATCAGTTGGTCCTTCGTCAGCTAGTTCTGTCATTGCGTTCTCGAGTTCCGCACGATACGGTATGTCATACCCATACGACATCATGGTTCCATCATCTACCAACAGGAAGTGAGTGTGATGTGGATCCAGGGAAACTGGCTCTTTTCGCTTCACAATGGGGTTAACCTTGTATTCAGCTGGGTACAGACCCTGTACAATAATGTTAATGGGTAAATATGTATTATAACTGAATAGCACAGAAAGGTAGCCTTCAAATGAGGATGCTATTGGAGGCTATGTGACCTTAAATATCAGGAAAACATTTGACATATCATTATTATAATGTCATAAAATACAATTTGGAGTGGAGCTGCCATCTTGATGGTCAAGATCTTGCTTTCAAATGTCAGGGTAGTAGGTTCAAATCTTGTATCTCAAATTTGTTTCCATGATTAAGCACGCCTGTACTATTAACACTTTGTAATAATCGTCACACTTTGTAATATCTGTTGCACTTTGCAACTAAGTTGTTACACTTTGTAATAAACTGTTGCACTTTGTAACTATCAAGCTGTTGCACTTTGTAATAACTGCCTGAAACACTTTGTAATAACTGAGCTGTCGCACCTTATATTCTGTCGCACTTTGAAATAGCTTGCTTCATTTAATTATGTTATAACTTGTAATAGATACTCTCTTTTTGCTGCTTTTTTCCTTTTTTCCTCTTGTGTTTTTATTGTTGTAATCTGTTTATTTGTCTTTGTTGTTTGTGTGACTGTACTACTGTGATGCTTCAGGTTCCTGAATAATGACTAATTTTATGCCTACCATTGTTTTCCTGAATTATTGAGGCTTGGCTTGCGCTTCATAACCGCAAGGGAAAGGCGCAATATAAATACCCAATACCAGTACCAGATAAAAAAAAATATTGTAGCACGTTACATGAATGACTAATACTACAAGGTCAAGGTCATATACAAGTTTTACTAATAATTTGGATTATAATTTCCAGAGTCGATGATCTCAAATCAACAAATGTGATATTGCTTTTTCTTGCGCGCATGCACGATACTACAAGTTCAAGGTCACATACTGGTTTTACTAATAATTGGGATTATAATTATGGTGTTTAATTTCAAAAACAAGGTGGCTTGCTGCGTTATACGTAGTCCCAAATCAACAAATGTTGTGAGATTGACTTTTTCTGCGCGCATGATGCATGCTACTACAAGATCAAAGTTAAATACAAGTGCTACTAGTATAGTGTTTATAATTTTAAAACGATACTGCAAAGCCAAGGTCATATACAAGTTTACTTACAATTAGAATGTTAAAACTCGGTTTCGTTGCGCATGTGCATGATACCTGTACCACAAGTTAAAAATCATGTGTGTTTATAATTTTAAAACTCGATGGCTTACTGCGTTGTATGTAGCAAAGAGTATAAATAGAACAAGAGAGCAAAGTCCCGTTCGTAAAAACGTCATGCC